CCCCCCGCGGGCGGGGCCGTTCCCGGAGCGCTCGGGGCCCGGGGTCCCCCCGCCGCCGCCACTCACCGCCGCGTCTGGGCAGCTCCCGCTCCGCCGCCGCCAAGCGCGGCCGCCGCGGCCGTAAAACCCGCGGCCAGTTCCTGTCGGCCCTTACGACACTTCCTCCCTTGGCGGCGGTGCCTGGCGACGGCGGGGCGGGGCCGGCGCCCTCAGACGGGACGCGGGGCGGGGAGCGGGGACAGGGACAGGGACCGGTCACAGAGTCACGGAACCAGCTGGGCTGGAAAAGCCCTCTGAGGTCCTTGAGCCCAGCCGATGGCCGAACACATCCAGTCTTTCACAGGCTCGGAGTGTCCTGAGCTGGCAGGGCCCGCAGGGAGCGTGGAGTCCCACGCCCGGCCCTGCACGGGACACGCCGACAATGCCGCCCTGTGCCTGAGAGCGTTCTGAATTCTGTCAAATCTGCCGCTGTGCCCATTCCCTGCTCAGCCTGTTCAGAGCCCAGCACTCTCTGGGGGAAGAACCTTTCCTGATATCCAAGCTAAACCTGTCGTGCCTCAGCTTCCTGCTGCTCCCTCGGCTGCTGTCACCCCGAGTGACCAGATCAGCCCCTGCCCTGCCTCTCCTGAGGGAGCTTTGGCTGCTCTGAGGTCCGAACTGTGCTCCAGCTGCACAGACCAAGTGTCCTCATGAGGCCCCTCAGACCCTTCCCCATCCCTGTGGCCTCCTCTGGATCCTGTGGAGCAGCTCATTGAGCCCAGCCGATGGCCAAACACATCCAGTCTTTCACAGGCTCGGAGTGTCCTGAGCTGGCAGGGCCCGCAGGGAGCGTGGAGTCCCACGCCCGGCCCTGCACGGGACACGCCGACAATGCCGCCCTGTGCCTGAGAGCGTTCTAAATTCTGTCAAATCTGCCGCTGTGCCCATTCCCTGCTCAGCCTGTTCAGAGCCCAGCACCCTCTGGGGGAAGAACCTTTCCTGATATCCAAGCTAAACCTGTCGTGCCTCAGCTTCCTGCTGCTCCCTCGGCTGCTGTCACCCCGAGTGACCAGATCAGCCCCTGCCCTGCCTCTCCTGAGGGAGCTTTGGCTGCTCTGAGGTCCGAACTGTGCTCCAGCTGCACAGACCAAGTGTCCTCATGAGGCCCCTCAGACCCTTCCCCATCCCTGTGGCCTCCTCTGGATCCTGTGGAGCAGCTCCCTGTCTTGCTTTCATCACCTCCGGGGATGGTGATTCCAGCACCGCCCTGGGCAGTCCATTCCAATGTCCCATCACCCTTCCCGTGAGGAAATTCTTCCTGACATCCAACCTGACCATCCCCTGGCACATCTTAGAATATGTCCCATGGTCCTGTCCCTGTTCCCGGGATCCCCCTGGCTGTCCCCTCCTGGCAGGAGCTGTGCAGAGCCACAGGGTCCCCCCTGAGCCTCCTTTTCTCCAGGCAAAGCTGAGCCCCCTCAGCTGCTCCTCATCCAACTTGAGCTCCAGACCCTTCCCCAGATCCATTCCCTTCCCTGGACTTGTTCCAGTCCCTAAATGTCAGCCTGGATGGAGGGCCCCAGGGCTGGCAGTGTGGCCTCAGCAGCGCCCAGCACAAGGGACAGTGGCTGTCTGCTCTGGGCTTTGTTTATCAGCCCAAGCCTGAGCAGGCACAGGCGCTGCCCACAAGGACGTTCCCAGCTGTGTTTAGTCTGGGGCCGGGGGCCAGGGGTGTTTTGGTGACACTCTGTTGCAGATCCAGAGCTCAGGAGTTGTTGCTTTTCTTTCCAAAAGCTGCATGTGGGATGTCATTCCTGCCTGGATAAGGCTTGGGCTGCGTTGTGTGGCTGGTAACAGTGGAAATTCAGCAAGGCTGAAAGACTCTCACGCCATCTCTGCTGCTCTTCTGCCTCACATAAATTCTTTTAAGAATTATACTGGATACCAGAGCAACAAACAAGTCCTTTAGATGTGAATATTATATTGATGTGCACACAAGGCCCCTCAAAATGCAGAGAAATTGTGGGGTTTTTTCTTTTTCTCATATGAAGCTTTTCAGGGCCCTCATAAGACTTGCTCATTTTCGTTTGCTACAGTTATTTTTCAAGGAGATGACAGGTCTGGGCTTAAAAGTAAAATCCAGGAACTGCTCTACGTGTCCTAACAGGACTCTTTAATTAGGAAGAATAAATAGTGTGGGGTTACAGCCTCCTGTTTATTAACTGCTTAATGCTGAAGTGGGAAAAGAGTAAAAGACCTTGTTGGAAATTGAGGGAATTAAAGGCTTTTATTCAAAGTAATTACTTATGGAAAGACTGAAATTTTGATAAAGAAATGGGTATCTGAATCCTTTTATATTTATTTTTTCTTTTCCAAGTCTCCTTTGCCCCATCCCTGGAAGTGTCCAAGGCCAGGTTGGATGGGGTTTGGAGCAGCCTGCTCTAGTGGAAGGCATCCCTGTCAATGGCAGGGGGCTTGGAACAAAAGGATTTTTAAGGTCTCTTCTAACCCAAATCATTTGGTGATTATTCTATGATTCAGAAAGGTTAATTCATATTATCTCTATCCATGTTGGCTTTGTGCTCTGCAGATCTGTTTTTAACCACTTCTCTCTGCTCCACAGAGGTGCTCACGTACAAAACTGTGCTCAAAGGCTTCCTTTTTATTTTTGTGTGTGTTTTAGCAGGCACCAGAGGACCCTTGTGGGCCCGATGGAATTGCTCTGGCACAAGTTCACTGGCCTGGGGTAGTTTAAACAGAAAGAACAAACAAATGTCAGTGCAGGACTGGCCCAAATTCTGCTCTCACTTGCCATGTAGCTGCTATGGGAGAGTCAGAGCCATGTGTCAGGGTGATGTCTGTGTGAAGAAGACAATCCAGGCCAGGAAACATCATTAGAGAGGGTGAAGATGATCTAAATGATCATGAAAGCCTGGTCTGCTGGAAGGTGTTCCTGTCCCTGGCAGGGGGGTTGGAATGGGAAGATCTTTAGGGCCCCTTCCAACCCAAACCATTCCACAGTTCTATGATTTTCTTGCAACTGCTGAGATATGCTCAGTCTAAGTTCCTGCTATGCTTAAGGTTGTCTTAATTCTCCTCTCTGTTATGAAAACAGCTGCTTTGAAAATGCATGTTCTCAACCAGAAGCCACACCTTTTTATTTTTCCCCTTAATTTTAGGTACATTTTGCTACTTAGTTTTCCTCTCACTGCTTTCTGAACATCACTCAGCCCTGAGCACACTGCCCATCACAAACCACATGCTCTGAGGCAGGGATGGGGCTCAGACACAGACCTTGCTGTTTGTCGTTCTTTGTTCAGTAACTCTGTGACCTTGGAGGTGTCCATGGTTAATTTGTTAAGAAAACAGCAACTTAGCAAACTTTGGAAACTTAGTTCCAGTATCTGTGAAAAGAAAGGGAGCTGCTGGTGGCCTTCCTCTTCAGTGCTTAAGGCAAGTACCTACATTGGATTTAATTTCACAGTTGCTCTCAAAGTATTATTATGATAGAAAATTATACATCTAAACTTGCCTTTGTTCCTTGTGGTAACAAAGTGGCATCCCAGCTGCACCAGAAATAAGGATGTTGGGGGCAAAATAATGACCTGTGCTTAGTCTGGGCAATAAAATATAGGAGCAGGTCAGTGCTTAATAAAGAAGTTGTTGGGTTTTTTTCTCAAAGAAGGGGAAGTAGTTTGACATGAGTGTGTAACATGGAAATAGAACTGAAAAGTTCTCTGTTGTTCTTCACTTATTAACAAACATTCTTTTAAAAAGTTACTCCTAATGGTGACTGCATTACTTGAGCTCTGAGCACACCAGCAAAGCAGTAATTAAGTGTATTTTTCCTTTCCACCTGTCCAAATCAAAAATAAATTATATATTTTGGAATCTGCTTTTTCACATGGGCAAGTAAAATTTTTTGTGGGACTTGTCAGTGCTATGGCCCTGAGGGTATCCCCCTTCCTGGGGTTTGCCCATTTGGGGTCAAGGTCAGCTTTGAGATTGATGCCTTGTGAAGGCTGACCTAGAACAGAGACTGGTCAGGGTTAAAGAATAAAGCAGGGATTTATTCAAAGGATCTCCTCCATGGATCCACCCTGGGCAGCACAAGAGCCCAGCCAGGGCTGCACCCAAGATGAACCCAAATGGTCCCAAAATGGATGACAGCTCACGGGGTCTCTCACTTTTATCAGTTCTGCTCCATGTGCACATTGCAGTTCATTGTCCAGTTCCAGCTCCAGCCCATCAAGTCCCATCCTTGTTTTTCTCTCTCCAGCCCACGTTGTTTATGCTCTTGGGCTGAGATTTGGTTCATTTGTCCTTGGTCCCCAGCTGGAGCAGGAATTGTTTTGTCTCCCTGCTCTGTGCAGAGAGCTCACCATTCCCTGATGTGAAGCTCAGAACTCCACACTAGAGCAGCTCAGAATCTGAAAAATAGAAAAGCTAAAACCTGGGGCATCAAGATAGGTCCAGCATGGCCATTCCTGCTTCACCCTGTGCTCCCCATGGACTTTTTGGGCCATCTGGGCTCTCAGCTGAGCCTGGTCACTGTCACCAAGGTGTCTCTGCTTGCTTTGCTCAGCTGTGTTGGGCTGTGCCTGTGACAGCCAGGCCACCTTGGTGTCCTCACCTGCTCCACCCCTCCCACCTCGCTGCCACGCTCAGTCCCCAGCTTCCCTTCCCTTCTGGAGCAGTGTCCAACTCTGCCATTTCCTGAGAGTGAGCCCACACCTCGCCATGGTGAGCAGGAATCCTGCACTGCACTGATTCCCTTTTTTTTTTTTTTTTTTTTTTGTGATGCTTTCAAAATTTAGAGACAGGCACTGTGTGGGCAAAGATGCTGTCATTCCACTGAAGCAGCCTGGCTCTGATCCTCTGCAGCTCCAATAAATACAAGAGAATAGCAAAGATGTACCTGCAGATCTGAAATTTCTGCACTGAATTCTGCATTTGGAAAGGAAATGCAACGTGTGCTGGCAGAGGTGGGAATACCAGACCTGTCCAAGTTTCTGAAGCAGCAAATAGAGAATTTAAAATATAAAAAATTAGAATTTTTTATCATTTAAAATTATAACATTTAATTTATTCTAAATTCTAAGAATTTAGAATATAAAAAACAACACAGGGTTATAGGCACAGGGAATGAGGAAATCAGGAAAA